GCCCTAGGTGAACTGGCAGTGGATCACCAACCCGGTTATGGCCCCGGATGTCGGCTGTTTGTCCTCTCACTTTCGTGCATAAACAACTTCGCCACGAAAAGGCAGTGAGTAAGGCTTCCTCAGTAGAGGCTGTTTGAAACGCTTGGTCGTATGGGAGCATTTTGTGAGGTGCAAGGGAAAGGTGACCGGCCGCAACACTAGACACGCACCCCCGACCATACTGAGGGTTTCGGACTTGCAACTTATATCGATGTGGTCTGCCTGCGACCGTTGCCTACTCGGAGGACGTACCGAGAGTTGGTGAGGAACAGACAGGATTCAGAGAACAGTCAACTGTCGTCCCCCATTTTCTGAGCGATAGGAATTCAGTTATAAAGGATGTGCCAGATGAGCCCCAATAGAAGATGGCCGGCCTACTCGAGCATGCATATACCCAGAAAAAATCACAATATTAGCCCGGCTCGCTTCATGCGAGAGATCGCTTGGGTTTTGCAAAATATCTCACCGCAACTGGGCTAAAGTTTGTGGGGCGTACGCTAACAGAATAAACAAGTTTCCTCTGTCGGGGCGAAGGCTGCTTATTTTGCACGAACCAATGAGTCACCAAGAAGAGACTGCACCGCGACGTGTGCACATACATGACACAATGAGCTACACACGATGGCTCTTATCAAGCCAAAAGGTTGCAATGCCTGGAAAGTCGGATGATAGAGGTTCGACAAAGTTCAGTTCCACATAGGGGTTCGGCTCGAACGGACGTGAAAGTAAAGATGCTTGGGGGAAACGATCCAAGTAAATGGATCTCTACTTAACCCGCTGTCTCGTGGTTAGGCTCTTATCAAAACTGAAGTCTTTGGTTGAGAACCCCAATCGTTCTCCTGCTTAGCGGCTGGGCATCCTAGCAGTACCCGTCCATTAAACCCCAACGCATACACGAACTATGAATAATTCCATACATCATCAGTCGTGGAGCAGTTCAGTTTCAGTTTGTACAACCATTAACCATGCACTATCGTGCGCCGGTTTTGCTTGCTATCTTTCGACTACCCATTTGGATGAAAATTAGGAGAAAGACAGGAGCAGGACAATCAGGACCGCGCTGCCCATTGCATCGAGCGGGGTGGGTAGTGATAAGTGAGCTTCTGCTTAAATATCCCAACTGTCTTCCGTACCCAATCCACTCCCTTTGCCCTTTCTTCTGACCTGTAGCAGTCGCTCGACAAAGGCGGTTGCCAAAAAAACTGTAAATATATGACCACAAAATGGATTGCAGATTCTGAAGCCTCGTCAAGCACCGAATCTGGGGGCCTTCAGCGTGAGGGCTCTGATGCAGGTAGGTCAACAAGCTTTTCTCAAGTGTACAATGGAATCCTCAGGGATCGGTATTTGCTGCGAGTCGGAACCGGATTTATCCTCGAGAGACGTTCTTCGCACATCAGGCGACGACTAAGCCCGGGTAGTAGGTCAGGGCCGGTTAGGTCTTGCAATCAGTAACAGGGTCGAGTCCCTTTTTATTGACTGGATTCCCGTCAACAGTCATTTATGTGCAATTCGTATGCAGGGTGTTTGTCCATCATATGGGTATAAGCACCAACCAATTGCAGTTCTGATACACAAAAGGACGATTTCTAAGATAAACTTAACGAACTCATTAGGATGAATCCAATCTCCGACAGTTGTACTTGTGGGTGACTTCAACATGCAGGTTGGAAAACTGAGCACATCAGTAGCTTGTCTAGGCGGTAGTTAGGCTCTGCCCTGCCAACGAACAGATAACGGCGATCGACTTCTTCAGTTCTGCGTAGATCATCTTTTTTATTACACACATTTGTGATTAAAAGCAGACGGGGCGAAGCCCATGGTCACGAAGATCTGCTGTTCTTATCCAGTGCCAAATTCCGACAACCATCAACGGACGGCAAAGTGGCGCTCCAGTTCAACTAGTATGCCAACTCAAATCAACCGCATAGCAGTTACCTACCGTTGGTGTGGCTCAGTGCAAAATGGGTCCTATTGGACCACCTGCGTTGGGTTTGACCACGCATTTTTTGACGCAATTCATACTTCAGCTGACTGGTAGACTACAAAACCAGCAAACTCGTATAGCTCAGCATCGACTATCTGTTCCAGCCGTTCGTGCACGCTGAGTCAGAGCCAGTGCGTGAGCTAAACGCGCTTCAAATTGATGATGTAAATGAGCAGACGGATCAGATTAGGCGAGAGTCGTGTTTGTTATTCGTTCTGCTTCCGTATGCCGTTACTCACTTCATCCCTTTTATTTTTCAGCTCATGTACCGATATTATTAAGCCAGTAAAGCGCATTGCCCCGGTTTGCGCGTTCTCTCATCTCGACCGTTGTGACCGTACTCGTTTGTTGTCGCTCGTAACAATTTACTCGTCTAATATTCAATGGACCGTTACCCCCGTCCTGAAAACTTCGACACTGATTTGAACGCTCTCGACGCTTCGAAACAGTGGATCTATTGACTTCGAACGTTCAGTCTTCTCGAAACGCGTCCAAACTGAAGATCCAGACAAGCTAGACATAATGATTAACTTCTTATCAACGACCGTCTATGAACACGTATCAGATTGCAATACCTTCAACGACGCTATATCTCTACTTCGATCTTTGTACGTACGTCCTAGGAATGTAATTTTCGCTCGACACCTCCTTGTGACCTTTAAACAAGAATGTGGCCAGAACGTTGATCAGTTCGTCCAAAAGATCAAAACACTCGAAGGACTGCGACTTCCGTAAATGTCGAAAAATACCGTGATGACGCTATGCGTGATGCTTTTATTACCAGATTACTGTCCAATAACATTCGAACGCGATTGTTAGAGCAAATGACTCAACTTTCAAACCGCATACACGGTGAGATCGTAAGAATCTGCTCAACAAAAGTCTCAGTCATATGCCTCCGAAAACCCGCCCTGGGCCTTATCTACTTTGACGTCGTCGTCTGCACCTTC